CTTTTCTCTTCTCAGTAGGGTTGTTTACAGCGCAGGCGATTTCCAGTTAGCTTCTCAGCTTAGCCTCCAGCGACATACACACACACTTCAGCAGAGGCCACGCCTCCAGCAAGAATCGCTTCTCTATAGCAGCGAGTCCAGACCCTCGTACGAAGCAAAGTGAAGGACAAGGGTCTGGTTTTTACCAGGCTACTTTACAGCCAGCATTGACCATAAACTACATCTTCCATATTGCATGGTAATTACTTTTCTCGTAAGTTGACGACATCCTTCCGGTAGGGGAACAGGATTCACAAGTAGCAGGCAACTGGCAAATTTGACTGTGTAAAATCTCCGTTTCACTGCATTTTCACCTGCCAGTTAGAGAACATATTAACACAAATATAACGCAAATGCTGTTTCTATGCATGAAATACCACAGAGTTCAGTTTYGGTTTACTAGCAGTGCTTAGTAATAGCAATGAGACAAGGAAAGTTTGACAAGGAAGGTTTGTTATTTAGTCCAAGCTAAACACATGATGTCGAAGTTACTTACAACTAGCCCTATACATCTTTCAGTTTTGCATTACATGGATATTACTGCGTGATGTTGAAGATGGAGTGATGTTTTTGCTCGCGTCTTGGTGTGAGTTCATGAAACTCATGAATTTATACAGAAGTCTACAAGTTTTTGCAAGTGCAAGTAGCAGCAGAAGTAGCTAGCTGTGCTACTTCCTGCAGGGATATCACATTTCCACTAAAATAATTTTGATAAGCAAAACTGATAGGAGTGTATAGTTTAAAACTTTAATTGTTGCCCAACACGGAGCAGCTCAATCAGATCAAAACTCTGTTTCTCCAAACTGAGGCTGTGCTCAAAGCTTTCAACAACAGGTAGGATATTTACTCTTAACAGACTTTTCACAGAACCCCACTAAAAAAACTAAAATAAAATCGAACACTCCCTTTAAGTTGCAGCATTTCTTAACAGTTCAGAAATCTTTCTTTTTTTCTGTCTCAGCATCAAAAGCAGTTTACTGTGCAGGCAAAGGTTACAGCTCCACAGGTTTATAGAATTATTAAGTAAGCAATTATGATAACCTACTGTTTTAAAGATAATGTGGTGATAAGATTCTGCCAGTCTCACTCGGCTGTTTTTTTCCTTGACGCTGCTCTTCCTGAGCAGAAAATCAATCTTTTTTGTGTCCCCAGGCTGCTTTGCTCACAGGCCTTGCACGCTGCATTTGTCACTAAAAAGATTAAATAAAGAAAGAATAAAGAAAACATATGAATCTTAAATCACATCCCGTAGCTGCAAATTATAATGACCCTGCTTGTTAGTGGCATTTTATCAACGCTCATAAACTTTGAATGACTATATATTGATAAAGACTGTTTAAAGTGTCATCGAAATGATAACATTTGCACTGTAAATGTGGCCCGCAGGCTCTAGCCTCTGATTATACTCTGATGATAAGAACAGCACATGCTGGTATACAACCAACGGAGCAAAAGCCACTGACTATTTTTGGTTGAGGAAAAAAAAATTGGAATATAATTGTTAGAACTTCTAATAAAAAAAATGTATATAATGTATTTATAAATATGTATATCAGAATAAAATCCGGCAGCAACTAAAACAACAATGCTCACTGTTTTTATGATACCCCAGAAAATAAAGCAAGCCAAGCATTTATGATGGATGCAGTTTGCCCTCAAACACTGATAATGTCTGTGACCTAATGTACAATTTTCCTGACACATTCCCTATCCCGCATTTCAATTAATTTTTTTTCGGAAGTATAGTTGACTAACATAGTTTCATAACTTCATTCATTATCGGTGAACAGAAGGTTGTTTGTGTTCTCCTTCGTACGTAAATAACAATAACCTGAGTGCTTTGACACTTTGCCCAGATCAATATCAATAAAGCAATCAGCGTCAGGGGCCTGAATGTCTCAAAGAGAGATCAGTGGGAGAGGATTACTGACTTTTATGGCTTCACCCTGCAAGGTGGGGCTGTTGCTCACTACGAACACAAAGGCATACAGAATACGTCTACGTTAGGAATTTATAAATGCTAAAACACCTTGAACTGAACGTGCCAGCTGATTCTGCAGTTTGATGAGAAGAAACAGGTGAGAGATTTAGTTTTTTGATCTTTTCTGTTTTTTAAATAAATAAGATTCGAGTCATGCACAAATCTTCAGGCCCCTCCCTCCTTCTTCTGGTACTCGAAGAGTTTGTCCAGACAGCCAGAGTGCACTTTGCTCAGCCCGATCATAAACAGAGACAATAAATCCAACCCGACTTCTGAACCGGACGACATGAGAGAGAAAGAGAAGAGAGAGGACCTTCAGACAGTCGGGGATCAATTCCTTCCAACGGGGCAGGATGGTCAAAACTCACAGCTCAGAACATTTCACCCTCCTTCCCCCGTCTGTGTGGCCTGAATCGTGGACGCATTGATTCCTGCGCTGACATCATAAACGTGACGTGTGCAAAGAAAATATTAAAAGCAAAGTTCAGCAGATGGTGAAGATTGGAGATCCTATTTGCTAAAAGCGTATCAGGGCTGGAATTCATTTTTCTCCGGGGCCTCATTATTTAATACAGAACATCCAGGTGTATAAAGTAAACTTTCATCTTCCTTACATCTCTTCTCCTGGATTTAGTTTCAGCTCAGATTCATAAAATAAAGCCGTTTACTCCCTCAGCTTTTCAGCAAATGTGGGATTAAAACCTGTTGTGTTCAGTTTCTTTTCAAAAGGTGTAGTAAATTCAAGCTTTCTTATTGGAAAACTGGGAATAATAACTTACTGATTGCTTTAAAGTAACTCCAGAACAACCTCCACATGAATAATGGAGTATATAACTCGCTGTCACGCCAAACAAAGAGTCCCATTATATTCGGCGTCCTTTACAAGACAAATAAAAGTCTTATTTATGACAGCGTGGGGGAGGGGGGGGGCTGCACTGTTCCAAGCTGCTGGGTGTGCTGCCACCTTGTGATGTTCTCTGAGCCCTGCATGTCACAGAACGCGCTCCTGTCAGCTCACAGCTTCAGAGCGAACGCCAAGGGCAGAGCCCGAGGAGGCAGAGAAGAGGCCCCTCTTCCCCGAGGCGTCTCTATCTTTTGCTCGGTTGAAGCCTGCAGTTCTGGGGCCACCATCACTCACTCTCAGCAGGGCAGCGAGTGGATTAGCTGACCTCTCCTGGTGTGGGAGGAACAGGAGAGGTCCGGCGGGTCAACAGGGCGGCCCCCTCGCACRGCTGAAAGCACTGGGCGAGGTGGTCAGGGACGCTCCCCAGGATCAGGCAGATAGGAGCGTCTCCGGCACCCCGACAGCCAGTCGGCGTGAGTCTGCAGTCTGTCAGGAGGAGATGGACGAGCAGTCGTCTCGAAGCGTCTCGTCTTGCTTTTGTTATTCTCTAAACCACAAGGAGACGCAAACGTTACACCGACGTGCGACATTGCTTTCCTCCATTATCACCTTTTGCGCAAAGACTCTCTCACCGATCTTTGCTTCACAACTCGTCCCCGATCATTTCCACGGAGCGAAAGTCGCGACAGTCGACTYGTCTCTCGCCAAACCCAGGAAAATTATTTAGTTGGTTGAACCGGTTGATCTCACGTTTCACAAARCCATGTCTTATTACAAAAAGCACACTTAAGAAGTCATCCACGGACAAACAAAATGAAAACTGCCACAAAGACGGTGTGGCCAGAACGAATTTGGACAAGTCTACGGTRCAACCACAACTCTCAAAAATGTAAAACGACGTGAGCAGAATTCAGAAACACGTCCGTCTTCTCCGAACCAAAGCACCGTCTGAAAGTGGAAAACTGCTGTGGYCAAGACGAATCCAAATCTGACATTTGTTTTTGAAATGACAGCTAAAACGGAGAGAGACCATCAGCGCACAGTTCAAAAAGCCTGCCTCTCTGATGGTATGGGGGTGTATTTCCGCCTACGACATACCTGGACACCATCGCTGGAAGTTTCAGAACACATGTTCCCATTCAGGTGACATCTTTTTCAGGGAAGGCCTTGCATAATTCAGCAAGACGATGCCGAAACCAACAAACTGCAGTCATTAAAACAACACGTTTAAGAGGCCTGCCTGAAATCCAAAACCTGACATTTTGTAAATTGATAATAAATAAATGAAACACGAAATAAAACTTTAACACTTAAAAAAAAAGTATAACTCAAAACACTGCAGCCTTTTCTGTTCCTGAGCTGAGGTGGAAATCTGTGATCTCAGGCCCTGAACCATTTTTTTTTCTTCCAACAAGCATCTGCAGCTGCTCAGGGGGAGCAGTACTTCCCCTGACATGATAACACGCACACGTCAAGGAACGAGTCATTTCTGACCATTAAATCTGCGTATTTAAACCGCCGGCTATATGACTTTTTAAAGACCGTTTGACAGACACAGCTGGAGAGTTTTAACCAGCCGTTAAATCAACGTCACGGGGATTTGCGATGGTGTAAAAAAGATGTCATCCTGCTCGGCCGTGTGCGCTGACAAAGTATGATAAATGTGGCGTTATGAGCAGCTGCACATGGCTGCTGCCTGCGAGACGAGCAGAAAAGCCTTCCACGTTATGAATGGACTAGTCAATGAGCTACAACGTAAATGACCTTTGGTCATAACTCTGCACCGTGTGAGGTGTTCTGTCACACTGCTCACTGGAGAAGATGCATCACTCTTTTCAGGTTTCTCATCTCCACTTTTTGGGCCTTATTTCGCTCTCTTTTTTTTAAATCTTTGATTAGCACGGCTGACCGGTCACACATTGGTGCCGAGTCATTATTAGGTGTCAGCGTTTTCAGTGATCCTCCTCTCGTCTCTGCCACCTCTGCGACGCAGACACCGCACAGCAGGAGAAGAGCAACAAAATGCTAATTTTCTCTTTAAACGAGGCCGACAACATCTGAGCTCAACTTAAAAAAAAAAACAAGCTAATGAAGACTGCAGCAGGAGGAGATTAAAAACAACAACTTTTACGGTCACTTGGTTCATTTAGAACTTTATTTCTGCTGGATGGTTGTTTTAAAAGCACTTGTTCGCAATACAGACTGAACGTTTTTTTAATGATACGTGTCGTACTGCATATGTCAAACATTCATGCCAAAGAAAACACTAATTACTTCTTTAACAGGACTGTTACAAGGTTTAAAAATAAAGTTGAAAACAGGCTTTTTTTTTCATAATAAACAACAACCGTAACAAGACAACACTGCCATAATAAGTACTAGCATTTCTAGCTTAGTGTTATTGAAATCAAGGGAAATAATCCAAACTGTAAGGCTGATAGTCCTAAATAAAAACAAATAAAAAAATAAGTGTTTGTAGTTGAAAATTGGGCATTTAACTCAGTCTCCATAAGTTGCCTTTTAAAGGTAAGTTCAATCATTAAACATTTTCCCCCTCCAAAATAAAACACTGATGAAAAGTTACTTGACACTTTAAACAAAATGTATTTTTTTTCTGTTTCACAAATAAACATAACTAGGCTTACATACAGCTACTTTAGAAAACAAGATTCTACTGAGGATTGCTACAAAACTATCGCCAACAAAAATACATCACATAATTCAACGATATCTAAGCAAGAACGTCTGACAGATCTTGAGGCTACATAGTAGGAAGGCAGTGATGTCTATAAATCCTATCATTAGGGCAGAAATACAAAATAATTTACTCTACTATTTCATCTTCTAATAGACTGTATTCTCTAGCTTAATATGTGTTTGAGAAAAGAAAATACGCTTAAATTAAAAATTAATACAAGATACAGAGCACCTTATCCCCATATAAATTAACCGAGAAGATTTTTGGAAGCAAATGGCACCAATTCATCAATGGTGAATTAGCAATGCTCGTTAGTGTCTTCAGACAATAACACCAAGCCTCAACAGTTGAACATTAAGGTGTGTTGAGATACTTTAGTTGTAGAAATGTTTGCATCACGTGGGTTTGTGCAGTAAAGAGTTACAACAGAGGACAGAAGCTGAACGCAGCTACACGACAGCTGAAGTGTGTCGCAACAACGCCTGTTGTTTCAGTTCGGTAAACAGAGAACAGGCGTGCTACCTGCAAGCTGACGGACTAAAGTGTGCGCGCTGTTACGCAACTGAAATGGACCTCCGCAATCTGTGCGAGCAAAGCTTTTTGTGGAAAAGTTTCTAGTGCAAAACTGCCAACTTTTGGTCTTCTGCTGCAAGGACAGTTGGGATCCAGAGCCGTCACATCAACCGACACGAACACAAACTTCAGGCTGAAACAAGCAAACCTCTAAACAGAGCCGTGTTTCCGGAACTTTCCATACTGTCGTGGAAAAATAAGCATGTCGAGACCACATTTAGATTCTCCAGTACCAAAACACTTGCATAAAAGTTTAGAAATACGATACATTTCGACCACAGCTGGGACTAAACGCAACACATGCGTGAGAACTTCACATGAGAAAGAAAGTGACAGAGCTTTTTTTCACAAAGGCCAAATCCAGGATACAAGATTTGCCCTTTAAGTTCATACTCAAGTGAACCTGAACACCAGCCTGAAAAAAGAGAAAAACCATAATCAAAGTTAAAATACTGGGAAAAAAGCAAAGTGTAAAGAAGGTGATTTGACTGAAGACACAAAAACAAAAACAACAAAACCAACTTAGGCCAGTTCAGATTTTTTTCTTCTACGCTTTGTAACAGTTCCATGTGACGAGATTAAAAAGAGCAGTTGTGATGTCGTTTACGACGCGGCTGGCTGACTCGAGTGCTGTGAAGGTGGCAGCAGCTTCTGTTGCAGGAGATGTCAGTTTGGGCTCTAGTACAGGGAGGTGGGGGGTGGGGGGGTCTAGTAAAGGAGGATGCGGCGCTCGATGGCCTTTCGGCAGATGGGGCACTCGCTCATTCGGTCCCCGCAGAGCTGACAGGTGCCGTGGCCGCACATGAAGATCATGTTCTTCAGCCGGTCCAGACACACCGGACACATGGTCTGCAGGGGAGACACGGAGCAAAGACGTCAGGTCGAGTTGTTTGTTCTACAACAAATTCCTCTGCGCAGCTCATTGTTTGCAGCTTCACCTGTTCCTTGATGTCTTGTAGCTGCTGCTGGAGTTTCTGGACGTCGGCGTTCACGTTCGTGTTATCCTTGTCTCGCTGCAGGGCCGGGATGTTTCCACTGGCTGTTTGGATATGAAAATGACACAAAAACACGTTGAGAGAGAAAAAAGAAAAAAAAAAGGAAAAAAGGGAATCTCATTCCCGGCCTATAAAATAAATTAACACTCAGATTTCACCCCGCATCTATAGAACGTGTTGCCAATTTAAAAAGAAACGCAGCTGCAACAGCATCGGCTTTCTGAAACAAGCTTGGCAGGAGATTTTTCTCGTTGCAAACAAGCAGGAATCTCAAACACATGCATTTTGAATTTATTATTTAGCAGATGACTTCTGGCTCAACGTTCTGGCCCGCTTTTTAATGATTTTCACTTCGGTAATAGACACTTTGTAAAAGCTGGAACAACACAAATCATCATGAAGTGCTTTTGGCACTGGATAATCAACAAACTGCTTGTGAATTATGTGCTGAAAACTGCCTGAATGTGCTATCTGAACACTAATTTTCTAGACTTATGCACTGCTGTAGACTCCAAAGCAGCTGGCAGGCACACCTCCYGAAAACAAAACCTGCCAAAAGTGGTGAACAGTAGTCTGCGTCAAACAAGCATCTTCTATTTTCTAATGTACTCATGAGTGTGTTTGGCATTAAACAAGGCTTGGGTGGGGTTGAGGGGAGGGGAGAGGGGCCAGGGCAGCACTGTGGAGGGT